GGGTTATGAAGAGGGCAGTGCCAGTCTGGTAGGTGGCCCTGGGGCCAGGGAGGCTGCTTTTGGGAGCCCAGAGGGAGAGGACTGAGGTGGATCCCTGGCCTCAGGAACCTGAGGGGTAGAACTCCTGGGCCTTGCCCCTCAAGGAGCTTCAAGGGCCCAGGGGTGGGAATGGGGCTGGCCCCTGCAGCTTTGGCCTGCCAGCCCCAGACTAAATACACATTTGGTAAACCTAGGAGCTAGGCTGGCTTCGACCCCAGCACATCCCCCTCAAGCCTCACAGCTGGGAACCAGGTATGCCCTGGGGATGTCCACATCCCTGGCTCTCTCCCTGGCCTGGGGAGGTGCAGTGAACAGAGCCTGCCCTGAAGGCTTGGTCCCTCCCCTCAGCCCCTTCCAGCTTCCCGCTCAGGCCCCAGGAAGAAGTTAAAACTAGTTAGTTTCCCTACATTTAAAAAGAGACAGAAACGTATCCCCTGCTGAAGCCCAGTGGGCGAAGAGGGGACTTTGTCTCTGCAGTGGAAAAGGAGGGAGTGGGCAAGGGGAGGGCTGCAAAATAGTTTTTTCTTTTAAAAAGTGCTTGGTAAGTCTGTTTTAAAGTGTGTGTCTATATCTATGTACAGATATACACACAGACACTGTTCACACACTGCCGCCCACGCATACCTACACACATACAGAAATGTATACATATACAGAATCATATACATATACATACATACATACATACATACATATATATATACTTTAAAAAGTCCTAGGTAAGAAGATCTGAGCCAGGCCAGGGCCAGGCCTGCGGGGTCACGACTGGAGGGCGTGGGCCCGGCCAGGCTGGCAGACCGGGCACTCGCTGCCCTCGGCACAGAGCTCACACAGCACGGCGTGTTGGCACGGCAGCACCGCTCGGTTCTGTTCCTGACACTTAAGGCATTTCACCGACTGCATGTGGAACACGGCCTGCGGGAGAAAGTGACATCATGGTCACCAGCCTGGCCCGGAGTTGGACAAGGAGCTTTCCTCAACATTCTCTTTGGTCCCCTTGATGAGGAACCAGAGGCACAGAGCTCAGCAGCATAGCTGCCAAGTGAGAGGGCAGAGTCAGAGTCCAGGCTGATGCCCTCAGGGCTCCCAATGTCTGCTTCCAGGGGTGCGGAGAGGGCAGGGCCGGTGCTGCTCTGCAGCCCCCACCCTGACGGGCTCTTCCTCCCACAAAGCCTCTGCCTCTTGTCTCGATCTCACAGGGACCCTCAGTCCTCAAACGAGAACAATGGGGCCTGGCTGCAAATGCCTGGTGAAAAAAATGAATGCACTCTCTGCTGTGCCGTGCTCCCTGGGGATCAGTGGGGCACCTAGGAATGCAGACAAAGTAGCCCTGGGGACCTAACAGTTCTGGAATGTCTTCTGGTATGTGCAGAGCTCACAGGAGAAGCGTCTCAATGTAACCGAAGGCCCAGGCCTAGTAATGCAGCTTGGGTCAGCCCCACCCTCAGAACTGTGGGGGCTGGGGCGGTGGGGGCGG